GAAGAGGAGAGAACATGGAGGAAGAGAGAAAGGAAGCAAAAAAGGTGCATGACCGTGGCACAGAATCCTTAGGAGGCAGAAGGGGAGGGACGGGTGGTGTCCCTGAAAGCTGCTGTACCTTTGTCTGCAGCGCAAGGGAGATGAGGGCGTCAAAGTGGGGTCGCATCATTGAGTCGTTGGCCTTCTTTCCATCAGCTGCTAGCATACGGTCTGGTATTGATGTTGGCATACGGATTGGGGGGGAGGGACAGAGGGGGGAGGGGGAGGTAGTGAGTCTGGTGAGGAAACAGGACGTTGCGCAAGGAGGAAGACGAAACACATGGAACATACCTTGGCTTACCGACTTTTCAAGCAACCGTCCTCCACATAGATTAGTGAGAAGAGGTGCATATTCCATAGCGGAAAGAAGCTTTTCTTCTCTATCCATGGACATATCACCACCCTCAATCCTATTCCCTATTTCCCTATGGGCCCCTATCGACCAGCACACCCTGCATGGCATAGCTGGGTTCTCGATCCGCGTGCAGCAAGTAGAGCCGGTCCTCTGCGCGGCACACGTGGTGCAGCACCCACTTGCACGCCTCGCCGCTCGCCTCGCTCCGGTCCAGCCCGACAGCGATGCGGCGCGGGCGGTTGCACTGCAGGCGCAGCTGCTCCTCCTCTGGCGCCATGCGCACCACCAGCACCGGGCACGGCGCACACACCGCACAGTAGTTGCCCCGGCTGCCCGTCAACATGCTGGGGGGATGGGGAGGGGGGTGGATAAGAAGATGGATGCAGGGAAGGATACGGCTCAGGTGAACGCGTCGGCAATTGAAAAGACGACGAGAATGGTACAAGTAGGCAAAAGGGGCCGGGGGAAGGGCAGGGGTGCAGCTGTAGAGAGAAGGTAGTAACGGAGGGAGGAAAGGGAGGGCGGGGGGGAGAGGGGGAGGTTAACAGTGGGTGAGGTGAGCAACGAGCATGTGCTGCTGTTCATAGAATGGGCTCATCATAGGAGCACTGCACGATGCTCCTCCTAGCAGTGCTCCGCTAGGAGAAGGAATATGGTGGTGGGTGTGGTGGTGGGCGGGTGGGTGGGCGGCTATCATGTGGTGTGGTGTGGGTGGGTGGGGTCACCGGTGAGAGGAGAGTTGGCGCCTGCTGCCGAGCACAAGGAGGTCGACGTCCCTATCGGCGCAGATGGACACAATCTTCTCCCGCACGTCACCCTCCACAAAACCCCCTCGCACTGCACCTGTCGCGCCGGCAAGCAGGCAGGCACGCAGGGAGGCACACAGGGAGGAGGGGAGGGGAGGAGGCGTTAGTAGAGTAGAGGAAGGTAGACGAGGCGGGGAGGAGAAAGTGGATCAATGGGCGGGAGCGGAGAGGGGTTGTGTGGTGAGGGAGAGGGGAGCAGCTGACCTGTTTGTCCGTCTCCTGGCACATCTGCCGAGAGCGCTCCATGAGCCCGTCCAGCACCTGGGGAGTCACGGCCACTGGCGACAGAGCGCGCAAGAGAAAACACGCGCAACAGGAGCGGAAGAAAAACACGCGCAACAGGAGCGGAAGAGAAAACAGGAGGACAGAGGGGAATGAAATGAAGGAAGCAGGCGCGACATCCCTCCTGCGCGACATCCCTCCTGCGTGACATCCTCAGCGATTCAGATCGTTCACGTGCAAAAGGATTCGGCATTCTCAAGACACTTGCTGCTGCACTTGCCTTTCTCAAGCGCACTGGGCTCTGTTCTCGTCCTTTCCTTTCTTCCTCATACCTGGCTGCACGGACGGGTCCTGTACGCACAGCAGCAGCACCGTGTCCTCGCCTCTGACGCCACGTGGCCTATGGTCCACCGTAAGGCTGTGCGCGAGCCACGTGTCTCGTCCATCGCAACCATTATGCGCTTTCTGCGAACCGCGACAGAGTCTGAAGTCGCCATGGCTTTAACGAATGACCGCCAAGGTCAGGGCTTCAAGAGAGAAAAACGTGTCGGATAACAATGTGTCTAAATCTTGTATCAGCAGAAGTCGACACTTGTATGTATATCTTCCCTCCAGATAGAGCAGCTGACTGACGCTTTCGATCTTGCGCAATCCACTCCACACGCACAAGCAGTGTGTGTAAAAGAAGCACAAAATATGGAGTCTTGGTCTCGAGGCACACGAGCAAAGCGACACGCAGGAACAATTTCAAGTAGCGTAGTGAGGACCAAGGTCAGTGACACAAGACAGGGAGAGTTGGCAAGCACGACAGCAGGGCTGCGAGGGATGTCATGGGGCTGGATAGAATACAACTTCATAAGCCCGCTCATAGTACTATTATACATAAGTAAGAAATGCGACAAGGCCAATTTTGTGATAGCACCATGTTGAAATTTATGTATGGAAGGAAGAATACAACCTAACTTTTTCTAATTATTCACTACGGAGTTGACTCAACCTCTACATCGTCCTCTCATTCAGCACGCAGGAGTGCTGAAAAACACGTTTAATATGGATTGCGATAATAGGGAGAAATTAATTGGTGTGTGTAAAAAAGCAAATCAAGTGCAAAACTCATGTAAAACTAATTGATACGTATATACTGTTATGAGATCTTGGGAGTTTCCTTTTGTACCAAGTGATGACTGCACAGAAACGACTTGTTCGGTTTGTTCAAGGCGGATCGCAGGTTGAGGAGCTTGTGACAATAACCCGTAAAGTTGAGCAGCCAAATGCCACGTCTGCACTCTGCTTGACAACTTTGGTGCCGAGCGACAATGTCGTGGTCGCAGACTTTCGCAATCTTAGGACCATTTTCATCAGAAGTCCTATTGGTCCGCCCCTCCCCAAAACCACCAGCTCGCCGTTCCGTCGCACGCACGTCAAACCCAAGGACCTGTCCGTCTGTCGCGAGCTCTCGTCAGGGGTCGCCAGGGAGCTGGGCAGGCACCACCAACCACTCTGTGATCAGAAGAGCCGCCAACCTCCCGCACTGCCCCATGCTTTCCTCCGCGGCACCTCCTGCAGCACGCGCACGCAAACTGACTTCCGCTGTTGTCTTCCGCCGCAAGGACAGTTTTTGCGCGGAGCTCAGCGGATGAAGCTGCGTGCGAAGCGTAGCTCTGAGTGCTGCTGGGTGAGGTGCTTTTCGGGTCAGAAGGATCAAATATTTCACTTACACAAAAAGTTACACTTAGGACGCCCTGAAAGCAGAGGAAGGCAGCCGTCTAGGTTCCCCCAAAGCCCAAAGGGAACACTCCCAGCCCGCCCCTCGTGATTTTTGGTCCGCCTGCCCGTTCCCCGCAGTGGCGAGATTCGGGATCGGGGGAAGCAGGAACGAGGGGGAGGGGGAGCTCTCCTCCGTGCGCCCTCACGCGCGCACCCGACCCAACTCCCGCTCTCCGCTTCGCTCTCCGCTCCGCTCTCCGCTCAAGCTCTCCCCCATGCGCTGGGCCTTCTCCTCTTTCACAACACTCTGGATCGCTGTTCCGCTCTGCCCTGCTTAGCTCTGCTGTGCTCTGCCCTGCTTAGCTCTGCTTTGCTCTGCCCTGATTAGTTCTGCTTTGCTCTGCCCTCTGCTTGTGATGTGACCCCTGAGCTGCTGTGAGGCAGAGGGTGAAGCTTGTGCTTGCCTTGTTTGACTGGGTTGGTGGTTCATTTGTCCGCCTAACATCCTCGTACACTACGCCTAGTACATCTAGCCCACGAGCACAGGTCCTCTATTATGATTATAACGGGTCCAGAGGTGCAAGCAGTGGGAGGCAGGTCCTCGGGCTCCTAGGCATCCTACAGCTGACCAACCAGCGAATAATAAGAACCCCCTCGCTCTTAGTTCAAACTAAGCCCGCCTTATTCTTCGTAACCACTAACATTTTCCGCCGGCTGTCCTGCAGCCATACAGCTCACATTCAGATGCAACCCTTTACCTTGGCTGTGCTAGATTATAGAAGCATCTCCTGTACAACCGAGATTGTAAAATCTAACCTAACCCGCGTGTCCGTCAAATGCCGTGCGGTACTTCACCCGTGCGGCGCTGTTGCCTACTAAGGCAACCGCGCTCCATTCTTCCGCCGCGATAGCTGTCCGTAACGCTGGCGCTCCTGGTACACGGCAACCGCATTAATAGTCGTGCACTCTCTTAGTGCTCTTCAGTAACCTGTCGCCGGGTTTCTCGGCTACCTCCGGTTTCCGATACGCTTTCCTGCTACTGGTCACCTTTTTAGCGTCGTAAAGTTCAAAACAAGGCACCTTTTGCACATTAACGGCCAAGGACAGAGCTGTAGTCTGATCTTATCTATTTGAAACTCTTCCTGACTCTTCCTCTTCGTGTGCGTCAAAGGAATTGGTTAAACCGTCCGTACCGCTGCGTCACCATGGGGGCGATGACGTCATCTTTAGCGGCGAAATTCGCCTTTTTTCCGCCAACCCCGCCGTCATACGCGATCGTGAAAGACCCGAGCACTGGACGGCTGCGATTCGACAGCATCGCGCCGCAGGACCACGTGGACGTGCTGCTGATTGACACGCGGCGGAGACAGCAGGTGGCGGCGATGTTCGTCCGCAATCCCCGCGCGCGACTGACGCTGCTGTACTCGCACGGCAATGCGGCTGACCTGGGACAGATGCATGACCTCTACGTGGAGCTCGCGCACATGCTGCGAGTTAATCTCATGGGTGAGCCTCGAGACCTCCCCCCCCCTCCCCTCCCCTCCCCTCCCCACGCCTTCCCTTTCCCCCGTTCCCCGTCCTTCCTTATCTCTCTCTCCCTCGGTCCTGCTGTCCTACTCTCGTGGTAAAATGATGTGGTTTTGCAAGTATCAATTGTGCAGCTGGAACCCTCATCTCACACCCCCGTCTCTTTCATCTGGAGCCTATGCTTCCTTAAGAGGTCCAATTTACTTTCTGTCTACAAGTCCTCTTGTCCATTCTTGTGCTTTTTAACCGCTTCTCACCTCCCTCCCCCATTTGACCCTCCCTTTGCCGTCCCCATTCCCCTCCCGACATCCTGTCCTTTCCCGTTTCTTAGGTCCCTCCTTTGTATCCCCCCTACCCCTCGTCTCCCTCCCTCTATGCTTCACTTGCCCTCTCTCTTCTCTCCCTTTCCCCCTCTTACATCCTCAATCTTCCGTCGACTCTCTTCCCATCACACGTTTTGCCACACCAGGTACGACTACACGGGGTACGGCGCCTCTACTGGCAAGGTACGTTCTTTCCGGCAAGGTACGATGGTACTTTACACGGGGGGAGTAACAGAAGCACGGGTGCGCTTTGCTGTTAAGGTATATTCGCTGCCCTTTAACCGGGTACTGCTGCTTTCAGCCTCCATTGTGTTATCCGTTGGACAGCTGTTTGCGACTTCTTCCCCGATTCTCTTCTGACCGCCTCGATTCTCTTCTGACCGCCTCGATTCTCTTCTGACCGCCTCGATTCTCTTCTGACCGCCTCGATTCTCTTCTGGCCGCCTCGATTCTCTTCTGACCGCCTATATTCTTTCCTATTCGCCGTCATCCTCGTCCTCTCAAGCCATGTTTGGGGCCGCGTCACGCCAACGCGTGGATTCGTGAGCACCCACCGGCGATTCTCCGCGTTCCCGCCTGCTGCCCCGCCCTGCTCAACCCCTCTCCGGCCCCTCTCCCTTTCCTCCCCCTCCCCATTCCCTCTTCCCCCGTTCTCTCCCCCTTCCCTCCACCCCCCCCTCCCCCCTCCTTCCCCTTTCCCCTTCCGCAGCCGTCGGAGGCGGACACGTACGCGGACGTGGAGGCGGTGATGACGTGTCTGCAGCAGCGATACAGCATCGGCGCGGAGCAGGTGGTGCTGTACGGGCAGAGCGTGGGCAGCGGGCCGACGGTGGACCTGGCGTCGCGCACGCCCAACGTGCGCGGCGTGGTGCTGCACAGCCCCATCGCGTCGGGCGTGCGCGTGCTGTACGAGGTCAAGCACACCTACTGGTTCGACATCTTCCCGGTATGCTGTCGCGTCTGCTTCTGTGCTGTGTCTGTGCCTGTGCCTGTGCCTGTGGGTCTGTCTCTGTGTCGGCGGATTGGGGGTGGATTGATGGCGTGTGTGTGTGTGTGTGTGTGTGTGTGTGTGCGCTGTGCGCGCGAGTGTGTGTGTGCGTGTGTGTGTGTGTGTGTGTGTGCGTGTGTGTGTGTGTGTGCGTGTGTGTGTGTGTGTCGTGTGTGTGTGCGTGTGTGTGTGTGTGTGCGTGTGTGCGCGTGTGTGTGTGAACATGTTTGCGTTCTGTGTCGCGTGTGTCATGCCATGTGTGGTTGACCGTACTGGGCGCGCACATGTGCGGCTGCGTCAAGTACTGTGAACAGACCGGGCTGGGCATCTCGTGGGAACGAAGAACAGGGAGGCGGATCAAGCTGATGCGCGCAAGAGCGAACGGAAAGCGAACAATTTGACGAACGCAACGCACAGATCAAAGCGGAGTTTTATCCCACGACGATGGGGTTAACTCAGAAGAGCGGGAATGGGGGAAGGGGGGAATCAGGGAAGGTGGGAAGGCGGGAAGGAGGGAAGGTGGGAAGGTTGGAAGGAGGGGGGCAAGTGCTTAGCAAGGGTCGAGAACCTTGTCGCAGCAAGATGCGTTTTTTTCATCATGCCCGCGCTCTGTGCTGTGTCTGCCACCTGCTGTGCGCTGCCGTGTCTTCCCCGCCCGCTTCCCTCCCTCCCTCCGTGCGTCTACGTGCACAGAACATTGACAAGCTGCCGAAAGTGGAGTGTCCAGTCTTCGTCATGCATGTAAGTCTTTGTTACGCTCGCCCGCTCGCCGCCCCTCGCTCGTTTCTTCCTCCTAGACTCATTGCCTTGCCCATCTACTTGTCGGTTGTCCGTCGGTCGTTCATAAGACACAGTGAACCCGAGAAAACACATCCAAAGGAACTGTCTGGTATATGCTGGTGCGCAGTTGTTGTAAAAACCCCTCACACTTCCGTTCTCCCTCCTGCCGTCCCTCCTCCTTTCCCTTTCTCCTCCAATCCGATCCCGTTCGCTCGCCCCTGTCCCCCCTGATCCTTCCCTGTCTCCCCCCCCTGTCCCCTTCGCCCCCCTGATGCACGTCGGACGAAATGCTGGTGAGTGCTTGCAAATCCAACGCACGCCTCATGTGCCACCTCTCGCTCCTCCCGTTTCACCCTCAACTCCCCCCTCGCCCTCCACCCCCCCCCCTCCCCACACGGCCGCAACGGACGAGGCGAGGGATGTGTCGCACGGGCAGATCCTGGTGGACGCGTGCAACCAAATGCATGCCTCACACGCCACTTTCCGCACTCTTCCCTCCCCCCAACCCCGTCTCCCTCCCCGCCTTCCCCAACTCTTCCTCCCCCCCCCCCCTTCCCCCCAGGGCACGTCGGACGAGGTGGTGGATGTGTCGCACGGGCAGATGCTGGTGGACGCGTGCAAGCGGCCGTTTGAACCGCTGTTCCTGGAGGGCGGGCACCACTGCGACCTGGAGTTCTTCCCCGAGTACCTGCGCTGCCTGCGCAAATACATCTCCTACCTCGTGCAGCACCCCCCCGTGCCACAGCCTGACCTGCCCAGGAAAGCCAAGAAGGTGAGGAACTGAATTGAGCTGTACTGAATTGAATCGAACTGAACTGAATGAATTGAATTGAATCAATTACTGAATGAATTGAATTGATTAAATTGAACTGAATGAATTGAATAGAATGAATTGAACTGAATGAATTGAACTAAGCTGACCGTCCTTTCCACAAGCACCACCTCCGTTGCCCACCCCTTCCAGCCGCCCTCCTCCCTCCACTTCTCTTTTGCCGTTCCCCTTTCACAACGCTCTTCCCCACCCATCCCCCTCCCCCTCCCCCGCCACGTTTCCACCCCCTCGCCCGTTCTCCCCAGCGCCCTGGCTGGGGAACCCCCCTGACAGCCATCCGGTCCTTCGTGACCCCCAACCGCCACCGCCACCCCTCCGGCACCGCCTCTGCTCCCGCCACGCCCGTGGGCTCCTTCTCCTCCTCCTCCTCCGCCTCGCTCCCCACCTCCAACGGGAACGCGTCCCCTGCTGCTTCCCTCTCTGCCGACGACTCCTCCTCGTCCTCTGCGGCTCCCAACCCGCGCACGCGGTCGTGGAAGCTCAGGGCGCTGTCACCTGCGTTTCGGTTCTCCCCGTCCACGTGGCGGGATGCACGGAGGAAGAAGGGCGAGGAGGGAGGAGAGGAGGGGCAAGGGGCGGAGCAGGAGGCGCTAGGAGTAGCAGGAGTGTCGCAGGGTAAAGCGCCTGGTGGTGCAGCCAGTGCTGCTGCTGCTTCGGCTGCTGCTGCTGTGGCAGCTCCTGCTGTGAATGGTCAGGCAGGTGAAGGAAATTCGTCAGCAGCAGCTGCTGCTGGTGGTGGTGTTGCGAATACAGGGCACACAGTAGCAGCGCCGGAAGTTGCTGCAATGGCTGGGGAAGTGGGGTCCAGCCAATGAGGAGACCATTGGGAGTCAGTCTGTTGAGGGCGGCTGGGCGGCTGGGTGGCTGGATTGGTTTGGTGTCGAGTTTGTGAGGTGGATTGCTGTTGGGGAAGCCAGAAGCCAGAAGTAAGAAGCAAGAAGTCTGACTGGCTGATACGCAGAGGGGGGACGGGGGTGTCTCTCCACTCCCTGCGACAATGGGGTTTCCGGGTTTTATGGGTTGGAGGGGAGGAGGGTTGCTTACATGTGATGAGGGGAGAGAGCCCCACGCAGCCTGTGCTGTGCAGACGGAATGTCAAGAGTAGTGGCGCTGCTTGGTGCCTGGCCGTGACCCTTCTCTGCTTGACCTCTCTGGCTGGTTGGACTGTTCCGTGTTGTGTGTAACGCGGTGTGTCTTGTTGGTTTGTTCTGTTTGTGTGTTTTCTGTTGGGCGTGTGGCTCTGGCTCTGGCCCTGGCAATGCCCTGTGTGTTGCATTGCGACCGGCTGAAGGTTGGATGACTGCTGCTAGACTCGCCGGCAGATGGGCTGAGGGAGGGGTAGGGAGGGAGACCTGGGCGAGAAACCTGGGAGTGCTAAAATAGACTGCTGCTGGCATTTAAGCGTTTCCTTGGGGGTTACAGGCTCCTCCCCTGCCCCACTCTTGACTCACTCACCTGCTCTTCTCACCTCTCACGCTCCCTCCGTCAATCCCTCCCTCCCTTGCTACCTGCTCTACCCTGTCCTTCCATCCACCCACATCTCAGTTCCCTCCCTCTGATGCTGCCTTTACTCCATTTTTCTTTGGGAATTTGGTTTCTTAAAGCGAGCTTACCCGAAGTTCAGCAGCCAGCATCCTCAGAGCATGGCGCCTCAGCCATTCACCACCACTATGTAGTGCCTGGGATTTTAATTCATACTGGGATCCCTTGTACACTGGATTGTCAGTTTGGAGCTATTTGTTGTGCATCTTGGGGATGCAGAAGCACACTTGCTCATCGCCTTGTTGCGAAGTGCCTGAACCGCTGATATCTGCGTCCATAACGTACTATTGTTGTCAATGTCATGGATGCTTGGAATCTCCTTCCAATCTGGTTTCGCTGACTAGTACAGTTACTGCAGCCGACGTGTCGCTAGCCTCTGTAACTCGTCGGTCTTGTAAACGGGTACACTCGGCTTGCTGTCGCTTCCCCTCCGCAGCCTTTCCAGACTGCTCTCCTCCAGCCATGTCCGATCAGTTTGCCTCGATACACTAGCTCGGCGCTGCCCTGCTCTGCTCTGTGGTGTTTCAAGTTCGGACCGTTGGCGCTTTTAGGGGCGTGCCAGCAGTCGTTCGTTTCCCGCCTTTGGCACCATGTCTATTCACGTCCGCGTCGCGGCGTGCTCGCGAGTGGCCGAGGGTCAGCGCCACGCACTCCGTTCCACGGATGCGTCCCGCAGCACTGTGCATGCGAGCCTCGCGGTCGCACACCGGTTGAATCGCATCGTAGGCGGAAGGGCAATCCATAGCAGCAGCAGCAGCAGCAGCTTTAGAAATGCGGGCGGGAGCGGCTGCAGCGGAGCGGGCCTCTCAGCGGCCGCCACGTGGCCTGGGTCACAACATCCTCCAGCTGCCCGCTTCGGATCATCTTCACTGTTCGCTCCGAAGGCACGCGCAGGCATGATCGATTGCCGCTGCAGCGAGCAGTCTCGGTGCGTCGTGCGTCGCTTCCGTCAGGGGAACGGCTTACAGCCAGGGTACGCAATGTCCTTTCACTCAGGGTACGCAATGCCCTTTCGCTCAGGGTACGCAATGCCCTTTCACTCCATTTGATATGAGTCGACTCAAAACGAAACTCATATCACACGCTCCCGTCAGGAGAAGGGTTTACAGCCAGGGTGCACAATGCCCTTTTACTCCACCCACGCACGTGCACGCTGTGACCTGCTTTTCCGATGGGTGTAAATTTCCAACAGATGGGTCGAGTTGTGCACCCTGGATGTTCAGGGCGTGTTGTGGAGTGGCGTTTGGGGAAGGGAGAAGGGGGGAGGCGGTAAGCTGTGTGCTCGGAGAATAGTAATGATAAGGGAACGGGTGAGTATGCTGGTGGATGCGAGTGGTTGTGTGTGTTGTTTTAGAGATTGTGGATGATGTCTCACAGAGAGTGAGGGTGGGTGGTGTGCCGGTGTGGAAGGGGGGAGGGAGGGATCTGATGGAAGTGTCGTTGCATGTGGTCCAATACAAGAAAACGGAGACACACGCGTGCTCTGTCTCGTCGCACCTTCCTTACAAGCCCATTGCAGCTCGCCATAATCTCGCTCCTATTTCCCCTGCCTCCTATGTTCCGTCTCCCCTCCCTCTCCTCCCACAGCCTTCAATCCGAATCACCTGTGGCTTCAGCAGCGGCAGGAGTGGCATAGGGAAGAACCCAAGCCCCGGCAACAAGCCAGGCAAACGCCCATCTTCCTCCTCCCCAGCTCCCTCCCCCACTTCCCCCTCCTCCTCCGCCGCCTCCTCCTCTCCACTCAATCCCCTTCAGCAAGTCCTAGCCAGCGTCTCGCAACAAGCCCAGGCAGTCCTCCCTCCCCCAGTCACAGCCTTCCCCTGGGCGTCCCTCCTCTCGTCTGTCCTTTGCGCGCATGCACGCCCTTCTCTCTCTATCCTTCTCGCTCCTCCTTCTGCCGTACCTCCTCTCATCATCCCTAGGCGAGCTCGCCTTTGCTCAGGCAGGGTCAGGTGTGCTGCTGGCGGGGACAGCGGCGGTAGCAGCCAGTGTGGGGTGCTATTGGGTGGCGGAGGAGGCCGGGAAGGAGCAGGGCGTGCTGGTGAAGAGGGGAGGGGCTGTTGGCCGGGCTCTTGCGCTTGTGGCTCGGGTCAGTGCTGGTGTGGGTTTGAGTCAGGTGGCTTGGTTGGTTGGCTCCTATTCTCATTTGTGTATGCCGAGTTCCACATCGGTTTATGGTCTTCACTGGTGTAATATGCATGTGCGGGGTTTGCTCTCGTAGTGGCCTCTCACCCTTTTCCTTTCTTTCCACCATTCATGTGTACCTAATATCGTAGCTTGGCCCCATGCTTCTCCGTGCTTGTGCCTGTGTTTCCTTTGTTCAGGACTCCACCAATTTACTGATGCTCATTGCTGTCGTTTGTGCGCTCCTCAAGGCCTCAGCACCCACCCTCCCTTCCTTTCTTCGTGTCATCGTACCATTTCTTGCTAATGGTAGTTTGGCTGCCGTTTTCGTGCGGTTAGTTTTGCGGCGTGCAGAAGTCAGCTTTTAGGTGTTCCTTACGTTATGACTCAACTGTAGAATAGAAACGCTTGATGAGCATAGCGCATTTCCCTTCTCAGACTAACTGGGTATAAGGTTTCTAGCTTCAATTGGGTCACATTATCAGAGGGACTTGCTTAAAGCCCCAAGCTAGAATAGCAAAACCACATTCAGGTATCAAATATATGTATAACTCATATTTGTATAGACTGTATAGGGTCACCTCTTAGAGGGTACAACACTCTTAGGTATATACCCTTGTTCTCTCTCTCTATCAAAACACTTGTTCAGTTTTCTTCTCGACATGGTATCACCCGTAGGTTCGACCCCCCCCCCCCCACCTACCGCTTCCGCCCATGCCTCCTAGGCCCCGTCGCGCGTTCACCTAGGCCCCGTCGCGCCGCCCCCACCTAGGCCCCGTCGCGCCCCTCCTGGCCCCTGCCGCGCCTCCTAGGCCCGTCGCGCCCTCCTGGGCCCCTGCCGCCTCCTAGCCCGTCACGCCCCTCCTGGGCCCCCTCGCGCCTCCTAGCCCGTCGCCCCTCCTGGCCCCTGCCGCGCCTCCTGGCCCGTCGCGCGCCCTGCCTGGCCCCGTCCGCCTCCTCCTGGCGCCGCCCCTCCTGGGCCCCGCCGGCCCTGCCCGCCGCCCTCCTGGCCCCGCCGCGCCTCCTGCCGTCGGCCCCTGCCTGGCCCCTCGTGCCTCTGGCCCGCGCCCTCCTGGCCCGTGCTCCTGCCCGTCGCGCCTGCCTGGCCCCTGGCGCTCCTGCCGTCGCGCCCCTGCCTGGCCCGCGCCGCTCCTGCCTCGCGCCCCGCCTGGCGCCCGCGCCTGCCTGGCCCCGCCGCGCCTGCCTGGCCCCGCCGCGCCTGCCTGGCCCGCGCGCCTGCCTGGCCCGCCCCGCGCCTGCCTGGCCCCGCGCGCCTGCCTGGCCCGCCAGCACCTGCCTGGCCCCACCGCACCTGCCTGGCCCTTCGCCCCGGCTCGTCCTGCCGTGCCGCCTCGGGCTCCGTCTCCTCTGCTCGCCCGTGCTGAGGCGCTTCGCGGCCGCCGTGCTGGAGGGGGCTGTCGCTGTGTTCCTGTGGAGCTGTGCCGCTGACCCTGCACGATGGCGGACTTCGTGCTCCGACTGGACGCCGAGGGCCATGCGGTTGACTTCGCCGCCTGGCTCTCCGATCTCCGCCGCCACCTTACAGGTCAGCGCCAGGATGGCCACTCTTTGGTTGTCCATGTCGACGGCTTGCTCCCCCGCCCCCCCGCACCTGCTCCCCTCCCTGCTGATCCCTCCTCTGATGACCGTGAGACCTTCTCTACTGCTGCGCTTGCCCGTGCGGTCTGGGACTCCCGCGATGCAGTCGCTCAGGTTGCCATTAGCCACGCCCTCCCTGTCTCTGAGCGCTCGCGTTTTGCTACTATTGAGACGGCCAAAGCTTACTTAGACGCTGTTATTGCCCGCTATTCCACACCCGCGTCTGCTTCTGCTGGTCGCCTGCTCTTCCCTATGCTTTTCCCAGACCTTGCAGCTTTCCCTACCGTCGCAGACTTTGCCACTCACCTGCGTGCCCTAGAGACCCGCTATCGCACTGCCAGCACTGCTGCCCAGCTCACTGCGCTCCCCCCCCTTTCTGCATGACGCTCTATTTTATCGCCATGCGCCTGCCAGACCGCCTCGCTAGTGCTCGCGATCACTTCCTTAGCCAGCACCCGGTGACCTCACTCTCACTGCCTTTGTCGACACCCTCACCGAGATCGAGACTCGCCAGCGCACTATCGCTCAGTCGAGCGGTGCGCCGGCAGTCTCTATCTTTCACGGTTGTGCCCCCTCCCAGTGCACGTTCACTGACGTTTCGGCTGCGGTCGCCACGGCCCCCCTCACGAGACGGCTGTGCGGTCCACCCGCAGCAGCGCTCGCGCCGCGGTGGCCGTGGTCGCCAGGGGGTAGGGTGGTGGCGCAGGTAGTGGTGTGGTGGTCGTGAGAGTAGTCCGTCTGGGGGACTACCATTGGGGTCAGGAGCAGCAGCCCCAGCCGCAGCAGGAGCAGCCCCGCCGCAGCCGCCCCCAGCAGCAGCCCGTCCCAGCCGCAGTCCCGCAGCAGTGGGCCGCCTCCCGCCTGGTTGGCCCGGCACCTCCGGAGGTGTGGCCGTGGTGGCGGCCCGCGCAGCTTGGCGTCTACCAGCGGCTCCGGTGCTGTCACCTGCCAGTACCAGCTTCAGACCGGGCCCTTCGCGGCACTCTGTGCCGCCGCCCGCACCCGACTGCCCGCTGTTTCCGCCGCCTCGACGATCTCTTTCGTCGTCGCTTTGGCCCGGCCCCGGACCTCCCGACTGGCACAGCCTGCTCCGCCAGGGCGTGCCGATCTTTGAGTTAGACATGGATCAGCTAGGTGCTGCTTTGCATGCTTTGTATTCTGACGCTTCTAGTTTGCTGGATCTTATTACCCTGTGTTCTCTAGTTTAGGTGTTGCACCTGTGTAGCTTAGCCTCCCCTGCTGCGTCAGGCGTAGGACTGCCTAGGTCTAGCCTCTCTCTGCACCGGCTCCGTCCCTGCCCCGCCACTGCGCGCTGTCCTTCACTCTCGACTCCGGTGCTTCTGCCTGCTTCTTCCGCGACCGTTCCACGCTCACGCCGCTTGCTACCTGCTGTTGTCTCTCTCGCTGACCCCTCTGCGGGTCCTGTCGTCGCTCGCAGTTCTACGTCCCTTCCCTGTCCAGCAGTTCCCTCGGGCTCCCTTACAGGCCTCCACGTTCCCTCGTTCTCGAGGAACCTGGTTGGTGTCGGCTGTCTCCAGGACCTCGGCGTCACCACCACGTTCCCCGGGCACGAGCGGTTCGCTGTCTGTTCTGAGGCTGTCTCAGGTTCCCCCCTTGCGACGTTCCCCCGGGACCCGGTGTCCGGTCTGTTTACCCTAGACACCGCTTCCCCCGGTTGGTGCGTCCTCCCAGGTGCTGCAGCTTGCTCGTGTCGTTCCCTCACTCACCCGTCCCTTCTCTGGCACCACCGCTTAGGTCACCCTGCTCTCCTCGTCTGCGTCACATGTCCCAGCACGGTCTTGTCTTAGGTCTCCCTGCGTCGCTCCCGCCCTTCCTCCCTCGACTGCGCCACCGTGCACGCCTTGCGTCGAGGGTCGGCTCCGCCGTGCCCTCACTCCTCCTCGCTGCGCCCCTGCTACTGCCCCCCTTCAGACCCTGCACCTGGACGTTTGGGGCCCTGCCCCCGTCCCCGGACCGCGCGGTGAGCGCTACTTCCTTGTGCTCGTCGACGACTACACGCGCTACACCACGGTGTTTCCCCTGGAGCGGAAGGCCGACGTGCCCGACGTTCTTCTCCCGTGGGTTGTGGCTGCGCGTCTCCACCGCGGTCTCCCCGTGTTGTGTCTCCACTCCGACCGTGGCGGCGAGTTCGCCTCTGGTCGGCTTGGACAGTTCTGTCGTGCGGAGGGCATCACCCAGTCGTACACCTTGCCGGACTCGCCACAGCAGAATGGGGTTGCTGAGCGCCGCATCGGCTTGGTCATGGAGGTCGCCCGTACCTCCATGATCCATGCCGATGCCCCCCATTTTCTGTGGCCGTTCGCTGTTCGCTACGCTGCTCACCAGCTTAACCTGTGGCCACGCTCCCAGCGGCCGCAGGTTTCGCCGACCCTCCTTTGGACCGGGTCCCCCGGTGACGCGTCTGCGTTCCACGTCTGGGGCTGCCTTGCTCACGTTCGTGCCTCTGGCACGGACAAGCTCACTGCCCGCACTGTCCCCTGTGTCTTCCTCGGTTTCCCCCTGGACTCGTCTGACTGGCTTTTCTACCACCCGCCGTCTCACCGCTTCCTCCACTCTCGTGACGTCACCTTTGACGAGTCCGTCTCCTTCTACCGCCGCTTCCCTCACCGAGGTCTCCCAGTTGCCCCCCCCCTGTTCCTTGCTCCCTCTCCCCCGGTAGCCCCTGCCCCTCTCCCGCCTCGTCCTGCCCCGTCTGGTGTCTCTCACGTCACTCCCCTCCCGTCGGTTGTCCCCGTTGAGGAGTCTGCTGACTCTGGTGGTACCCCCGGTCTGTCCTTGCCGCGTCCCCCTTCCCCGGTGCCTCCGCCCCCACTGTCGCAGTCGCCGACCCCGCTGCAGCCGTCGCCGCCGCAGTCGTCGCCGCCACTGCCGCTGCCGCTCTTGGCCCCTGGGGTGCTGGTGTGGAGGAGGGTGTTCGTCCTGCGGCTTCTGGGGGTGCCGCTGGTGTTGGAGGGGGTTCTCGCTCTGGGGGTGTTGGTTCTGGGGGTGCTGCTGTTGAGTGTTCTGCCGACGGTCGTTCTGCCTCTGCTGGTCCGAGAGTTCCGGCCCAGCCGTCGTCGCCGCCGCAGCAGCCGTCGGCCGGTCTCCGCTCTCCGCCTGCTCGGCCTTCCCTCCCCGGACCGCGCGCGGTGTCTCCCCCACCGCCTGCTGACCTTCCTGTCTACGGTCCTGTGTTCCCGCCGCCGACTCGTCTCCGGCCCGTCTTCCTCCTCGTTCCCCTCCTGTGTCTCCTCCGCTGTCCCCTGACCCTACACCTCCGTCTCACGTTTGGGCTCGCCGTCCCTCCCGTGCTCGTCCCGTCTCTCCTGTCCTGCCCACCCACCCTATGTTGCTCCGTTCCCGCTCGTCTCGTCCTCCCCTCCTCCCGTCCCCTCCTCCCTCGTCCCTTGCTGTTGCACCTCCTCCGTTCTCTGACTACCTCCGTGCTGCTCGTCCCCTTGTCCCTCGGGTCCTTGCCTCTCTTGTTACCGACCCTCTGTTCCTGTCTCGCGCCTTGACGCGCTTGTCGCTGCTGTCGCTGACTTCGCCTCTACCCGCCGCCTTGACTACGCTACCGCTCTGGTCTCTGACCCTGCCCGTCCTCCGTCCGTCGGGGGTGCTCCTGCCCTTGGCAGTGACGTCCTAGAGGACAGGCAGTACGAGCTGCTTTCCTTTCCGAGGCTGCTCCCCATCTCTGCTCCATGCTGTTAGTCCCTGAGGGTGACCCAGACGCCTTCGACATCCCGACCCCTCGCACCTACGCTGAGGCCACCTCGGGACCTTGGGCCTCTCAGTGGATAGCTGCCATGGAGCAGGAGATGGCATCTTGGAGGTCCACCGGCACTTACGTCGACGCAGTTCCCCCGCCTGGGGTGAACGTAGTCGATGGTCGGTGGCTCTTCAAGGTGAAGCGCCCCCCTGGAGAGCCGCCTGTCTTCAAGGCGCGCTACGTGGCCAGA